GTGAAAATGTCAGTTAAACCTCAGAGTTATGACGCAGAGCATAGTTACATTATTTTCTTGTTAGTTATAGTGTTGAGCTTAGTAATTGCATGGTACATCACTGACCCCCAGTAAAAAAGTTTCCACTCATCTGATGCATAAAGAGAAATGAAATTGCTGAGCAAATCAGCTTGCATTGACAAATCCTCGCTCAATGAGTTAAAACTGAGTGATCAAGCACCCCTGAATGCAGACGGCACGTACATATTATTTCAACCAAAACAGTTGCCTTCCTCTAACCTTCGTCAATCAATTTTGTCATCCATCAATCAAATCATTATCTACCTCATACAGCTATGGTGACTATAAATTTTAAAATCATTACAAATGTAAACGACACTTCTTGACCTTTCTATCTCAGTCCATGATGAATTTCAGAATTAGTTTTGTGAAGAATATTACAAGTGTTTATAATAACTTTAATTTAAATTATTACAATAGCTTCATTTGCTCTCATTTTGATTGAAGCCGTTATCATTCTCTGTGTTATAATATCGATCTTTTAAAGTACTGCGAATACTACAGATATTTCTAGTATGATATTTGAGGAACAGCAAGTCGCTAATAATATAAAGTGTTCTCTGGTCTTATCTTCATTCAGAAGAGCTCGATGAGAACAAAAATAGAATAATTAGAATAACATGCGTTATATTATTTGGGTCACCGACGTAGAATGAAAGCTTTCAGTTCGCAGCAATATCGTACGAGAAATAATATCTCAATTCCATGCATCATTTAACACTACGCTGTGGCCACATGGTCAGAGCCAAGTACGGTGTTGAATGGATTAAGTGGCCGGCAGTCAGAAATGTTTGGCCACATTTTCATAGATGTTCTTTTGAACCTCTTGAGGTTATCAAAGCTCAGTGATGTCGAAGGATTTCTGAAACTATGTTTATTTCTTGAGCTTACGAAATGCGCGACCTTGGAGATCCTTAATTAGTTCGCTTGAGATATATGGCAGGCGAGTTAAGGCCACAAACATGATATTCAATGGCTTCGCCCAAGTCATGTAACAGGAAGTTCAAGTTATTTCACGAGTTAAACTATTTTTACCTAGTTTCGCGATGTTTCTGACTCAATAATATTTTTTTTTGGCTAAAGAACTCAAGCGGCTTGTCACTTTCAAGCGTGGCGAGAGAACAAGCGACTCCTCCTTTTCGTTTACTTAATGTCTGTTTTGCGCGTTTGGCTACAATAAAACGACCTTTTGAAAATTTCTATTTAAGATTGAAGAAAACCTATTTTAGTGTAAAATACTGTGATCGATCAGCTGATACGTTGATCATCGTTTCATGTCAGCAATGGAGTTAAGTGAAATACCGCAAACCCCCATTATAAGGGAGTGCAACAATAGAGGTTGTTTTTGGTTTTGTTTTTTTATTTTTGTAATCAAATAAAGAAGAGCGCATTTCAATCCCTGCACGATAAGTTCTACTCTGCGTGATTAATGCTGGTGCAGTGCCTCCTACGTGCGTGACCTTGACAATCACTCTTGACAACTTCTCTCGAAAAAAAGTAAATTATAGTGAATTTGTCTTATGATCTCTCGAAAGGAGAATAGGATATCGATGAGAAACTAAGGTGAAGAAAAACGTAAAGCATCATTAAAATGGCATCAGGGCGACAATGGAGCCCGATTTCACACGACAACCACATGGATCGGCATTCATTGAGGTCTGGATGACACATTTTGGATTTATGTTCCAATTTCTCAAAAAGTGCCTTCGATACATCCACAGGCACTCGATGGCTCGATAGCCTTAAGAATCAGCCTCAAAAGATGTACAGTGTCATGAAGAAATATGATGATTTGAAAAATGGATGCTCTCATTCGGCTGCGATCTTTTTTTTTTTTTTTTTTTTTTTTTTTCACGACAGATGTTTGAATTGGGAGAAACTACTTTGCAGCTGTTTCGAGACAAACTGCCGGCTATTTTGAAAACCTATGATAATCAGAGGTTGAGCACTGGCGTAAACCAATCGATCGGGTAGTGAATTTTGCAGACATTCTGTCCCTTTATCTTTCAATCGATCGATCGATCGATCGTGCTATCTTAAAACCTATCTGAGAAGTTATATATTTTCATCGTACTCGGTATCACTGCAATCGGATGATTTTCATTCTTTTAATCACTATCTGCCCCGACGGGGTTTTGAAGGCATGTGACTCTTACATTATAAAGTGTACTTCTAAATACACCAAAAAGTTGCAAAGTTGTCAATGGTAAGCAGATAATTTTGTACTCTATCTATAGCCCAAAATTGACACACACGTTATACAATCCGAAACCTTTTTCACTTGATGTTTGTCAAAATTATTCTTGCGACATTTGTTCGTGTGATCCCTTTTTATGACAACTAGTTTTCCCATATCTTCACTTTCCCTCATTTTGATTGACACGGTAATCACTCTCCTTGTTACAAAATTGAGTCATCAAGGAATCAAAATCCTAAATACAATAAATAAATCTAATATGAGAGCCGGGGGAATAGCAGTTCTCTCATAGTTTTGTTATCTGCACGCAAGACTGCACGATAAGAAAAGAATTAGAATAACGTGAAAAATATACATAATATTTCATGGGTCAACAATAAGGAATAATAAAGGTTTACCTCAGTAGGTTGTAATAGTATCACATCTGAAGCTAAGTGAGATACCAACCAGTAGTAATTATATATTCGATATCTAATGTGCACGGAAATCCGGCACATTTTACTGAAACCACAAGTACAACCACAGCACGTTCTTCAACGCCGCAAACGCGATATGCAATGGCTCCGTTAGGTTTATCAGTTTAGCGGATTAACACTATCTTTCCTTGTCTCATCATGCTCCTAGCTCATCCAAAATCTTAATTCAGTAATTCACTCCACAAATTTGAGTGGCTTATCAAGGTTACGCTCAGAGAGAGAACAGCCCACTCTTCTCTTATTCTAATCTATCCATAAACACTTTTTTTGAACTCCCAAAAATAATCAAACTACCCAAAATACTCGTAAAGCTTAAAAGATAAGTGATAAAAGTTCCCTAAGAGTAATTTTCAATGCGTTTCAGCGAACAAAATTTATGGATATCTTTTAGACGCCTGATAAGCTACTGTCGGAATTAGACTAAAGAATCTGCTATGTTCCGAAACTTCACATATTTATAAAATTAACTTGATCTCCCTCTCTCTCTCTCTCTCTCTCTCTCTCTCACCGTTCTCGTCTCACGCTCCGGTCATCCTTCTCATTTTAAATATATAATGTGATCCTATTGTTCAATCATCTGTCACTTACCGCAAAAAATCAACCGGAAATCAATTAACGCTGAATAATCTCACACTATTTCGGGTGCAATAAGCGCTAATCATCGACAATTCCTTAGCATCTTTGTCTTACGTCAAATGTCAAGGTGAAAGATTACTAACAATAATAAAGAGACAAATTTACACAATCAACTCCCTTACCGACGCAGCACAACAATGTCTCCAGATACGTACCTCCTTTATCCATTTTTAGTTTCTCGATGTTATTTTTCTTTTTTTTTTTTTTTTTTTTTTTTTTTTTTTTTTTTTTTTTAATTTTAGCCGTCGTTAGTAATGTCGCCGTGTTATCTCACTTATTTCCCATCTGTCTCAAGAAAAATGAAATTAACGCCGTTGTTGTGAAGAAGCCGGTTTGTATAGACCTTCCAAGCATAGTGATGAGTAGATTTACCAGAACAATAAAAGTCCCCTTTTTGGAGATTTTTATCAAAATCCAATATTAAATATATCACGGATTGGCACAATTAGCTGAAAAACGTCGAATGATAGTTTGATCATGGTGTTGGGGGTTATTGCATGAACTTGCACTGACAAACGATGACAAAGAAAGGAGATACCATTAAAAAACTTCAGCTTCTTCCTGATTAATTTTGCTTTAAAAGTTGGCTTCAGTCTTAATTCATAATGTTTCCTTAATTTTTGTAATGATAATCGGTTTTGCCTGACGCCGAAAATATCGATGTCTACCTTTTTCGGTGGTTTTGATATGGTTTAAGAGGTTTGTTCGTTTATGGCTGGATTTGATAAAATGCAGTCTTCAGAATCTTGCGAGCAGAAAGGTCCACTGGAACCGCTCTAAAACTTGCAAAGTCTTGTACATAGCGGCAACCTGAGGCTGCTTTTATCTTCCAAACAATAGACAAGAAAAAGCAGACAAAGAGTCTTCTACTTCATCAATGTAAACTTTAATCTTTTCAAACCAGTGACAGAATCTCTGGTATTTTGCTTAAGTCCTACTGTGACATGAAAGGTTGGTCAACGTTTCAGCAGTCCGTTCATGGCGTGCAGGACCCAAAATAGCTTTGTGCCGTTTAAGGAGATGTATTCAGAAGGTGTTTTGGATTGTGGCCAAACCCGTGAAAAATGCATGAAACTAACTGAACATTTTTGTCTTGATCCAAATAGTTTCCAGGGGTATCAGTGTATTTTTTGAACCGGACAAAACTGTTTTGTGGCAAATACCGGGTAGTTAAACAAAGTTTAAAGACGCATTAGAAGTTATTTCGGGTACAATGGGCCCTAATAAGAATGACTGACACCCTAACCTTCATTCATGGTGGGCTTTATGATGGACTTGACTTAAATTCAAAACAAAATATCAGAAATCTTTCGCTAGCAGAAGAAGATACAAGCGCTAACAAAATATATTTTGCAGCATATCAATTTGAAACCAGAAAACTATTCGTTACTGAAAAACAGAAAAGTATAAATCACTGTGGTAAAACTTTTAAAGTTCAGAATCCGAAAATAACATTTATAACATAGCGCGAATGCTTGACCTATATAAGTCCTGTTGAGCCGCTATGAACAAAATCTTTATTTACGCACGCCCGTGCGTAAATAAGATGACGTGAGCATTTTTTTTTTTAAACCTGGCTTCAGAGTTTCCGTCCTGTTAAGCTGCAGTGCAGTTTTCCTTCTCTTTGAAATATGGAAGAAACCAGCGAAGAACTGCCCAATTTTTATATCGACATTAACCTTTTAGGTCTTGATCCAACAAGCAACAAAAATAAAACCGAAAGACATTCGCTGGGAACCAAAAAAGGTCACCAATCGGTCAATAACAACATTGCAAGGAAAAATTTCCGTTTTTGTTGTTGTTTTTTAAATTTGTTCCACCTAATAATAAAGTAAACAGTTGTTGATTGGGAATTTACCAAAACCAAAACAATCAAGGCCGCAAAAAATCTAAATGCGACAAACGAAACAACAAATTAGTCACACTTTGTCTCAAAATTAAATCTCTTTTCTCTTAGAATTTAGCTCGGTGCAAGGAGAAAAAATCCAGACACAGCTGAAACGTTTGTCGCCGGGCCGACTAATCGCACGACACGTCAGTCCGGTACTTTCTTCTTAACAGGTTCGGCATTCGTAATAGCTTATTTCTATACAGATCAATACTACCAAACTATTCAAAACATTTTCAACCCGATAGAAATTTTTTTTCTTTCTCGAGGGATTTGTTTGTTAACGTCATGAGCGTGCACAATAGGAATATGAAGCACGCTCACGCAATTGGACTTGATTAGACAAATTTACTAGCTATGTTAACTAAATGACGAACTAATTATCAACTGGCAGAATAATTCATAACAGATTTATTTTAATAACATGCCAGATTTTTCTATCGCCACCAAAAGTTATAGACAGACGCACGTCAGCAATTTTTCTGCATTATAGTATTACATTGAACACTTCAATCCAAATCACATCGTAGTAATCATTACACAATACGCCGCGGTTACTTTTGCGGTCCAAAATGCGGATTTAAATGGAATAAATACCTTGCGGTTAAAATTTTTTTGCCAAATTTTCAATACAAACCGTGGTGTTTTAGAGGTTTCCCAAAAATCATGTTGATTTTGTAGATAATGAAAAAAATTGCGCGGGCGGAGGTATCCTTTATGGTGATGTTCAAAGCTCCGCCCGCATTATCTGACGATAATTTCAAGTTATTCACCGAGTAAAACTACTTTCTTTACTTTCGCGATGTTTCTAGTTCAACGAAAGACTTATACAATAAAGACCTTTGCTTAAGAACTCAAGTGGCTTATTACCTTTATGCGCGCCAAGAGAAACTGCTGGTTCACCTTTTTTTTCCGTTTTTACCCGGTATCCGCTGCAAATGGATTTCTGGATTAGGAAATACTCACGCGAAAACTATTTGCGATCAAAACAAAAAATGTTCAAATAGTCTTTGGGTGCATCATGCGTTTGATCACAGTCCAGACGACCTTTTGAACGGTCAGCTGAAATCTTCACCGTTCTTTAATGTCAATGAATAATGGATCTCAATAAAAGTACCATGAATTTTGCGTTTGGTCATAAGAAGTTTAATTACACAAGGCTTGAAAACAGAGGATTTTTTTGCTTTTTTTTTTTTTGATTTTAGATGGTTTATTTGTTTTTCTCTTCAGCCGCTGAGTAAATGTATAGTTATTTTCGCTTTCCAAAGTCTGAAGACTGCGTTTGATTAAACAACAGCTAATTATGAACATGTCCAAACTTCCAGACAAATTGAATAATGTAAATGACTCTGTTGTCGAGTTTTCACGATATCGGATAAAGTCAGGTACGTAATCTAAGGAGAGCACGTGCGCAACTGAAACAATTCATTATCAGGGCGGTAAATGCAAAAGATGATCGCATGTAACAGAACAAGGTTGAGAGTAAGGAGATTCTAAAACCGTTCACTGCCTGTAAACTCATCCTAATTGCAAAAGCTAGAAACTCCCCGTCAGCGGGATTGGTCACATTGGAACCTAAGCCATAAAAATAATAAAGAAAGAAATAAAGAAATAAATAAAAATAAACAATGAAGATAAAAATATATCATTTGTTGCTTTTAATAATTGGATCGGTTAACAGCCAGCCACGGTGGCTGTGTTTTCATTTCTCCATCATCATAGTTCGTTATGGTAATTAGAGAGGAGCACAAACGCAAATAAATCAATTTTAAGTTATTTAGCGGAAGATGCATGCGTTATTCGCATATGGCAGAACACTCTGCACCTCCTAGCTTGAATGGAAGGATATTCTTCTCGAAACGATCGTTGGTGGAAAATTTTAAGAAGAAAAGCCTCTGAGATCGTGTAACATATAAGGCCCTGCCTGGACGAATGCACAATAATGAACTTTATCGGTGTTTACTTAGCCTCATCTTACTCTAGAAGGGTTGGAACAATTTGATAAGTTATGAACAGAGATATCTCGTGACGGTCATTCATAAAATTAGATTATTACAAGTAGTGAAGGGAAGTATTATGCTGAGACAAGAGATTATTGGCAGAGAAAATAGGTCCACCTACCTGTCAGGTAAGAAGAAACACATGAGGGTAAAGTCCTATCAGTTTATAAAACTTGCCGCCACATTTTCTGTTTAGTTTCTCACTTTCTTTGTGGTCGCATATGCGTGTTGCATACCTCCAAAGAGTTACGCCCAAATCGTTACAATGAGAAGTCCTCAACGACGAATAGGTATGTAATACCGGCTGTTTGGTAAACAATTTGCAGTGCATATAAACTTCCGCAAACACTGTGGTCATTTTTGTTTCCAAATATAGGACTTTTTGTGAAACAAGTATGTCATTTAATACTAGAACTCTTCAATTTGAAGAGGCAAACAGTTGTAACAACGTTTATACCATGGGGTCTGCATGTATAACTTAATTTTGCAACGTGCAAGAATTCTCGAGAGGCTTTCTATATATCATCAATCAGTCGACAGAGAAAATAGGTCCACCCACCTGTCAGGTAATAAGAAACACATAAGGGTAAAGTCTTATCAGTTTACAGAGCTTGTCGCCAACTTTTCCTTGTAGTTTCTCATTTTCTTTTTGGTCGCATATGCGTGCTGCATACTTCCAAAGAGCTACACCCAAATCATGACAATGAGACGTTCTCAACAAGGAATAGACATGTTATTATCAAGTATCATGAGAGTGTATGGCTGCTTTATCGTGGCTTTGGTAATGCTGTGAAATTCCAGTATCAGTTGGTTTCGCGCAGACCTTCGTGTCTGATCATGTCTGGTCACATGACGAGTGGCGTGAGCAGCCACTCAGTACTTTTACTCTATGTATTTGATGATTCATGTAATTTTCCAGTTTTAATTTCAAGTCTAGAAGATAATGTCAAACCACCATTTATTGACTACCGTTCAATGACTTGACAGTCGGGGACTGTTTCTGGTAATCATCAGTCCAAGAAAGGGAAGTCTGTCGTTGTTCTCAGGTTACATTGTGAAGCTGAGTGAAGGGTGGATTTCATTCAGTGTTGACAAGAAAACAGAGGCAGATGAAACATTGGGCATTTTGCTGAGGTTTTTTGGAACAAGGGTTTGACGGCACTTTGTTAAGCAGACATCTTGTTTTGGTTTTCCAATTTTTCTTCAATATGGCACATAAACGCATTTGCCATTAGTGGTCCGAGAGGAGAGCTCATGGCAACCTTATCCACCTGCCCGTAAAAATTTCCGTCGAATTGGAAAAGGTGTTTTTTTATGTTTTTTTGTTTTTTTGTTTTTTGTGATGTTAAGGGCATATTTCCTATTTAGACAGTTGCCTTCGAACGCTTTCTCTGCTAAGATTTTGACTCTCTTCTTCACTCAGTTTTACAATGGAACTCGAGAACAACGGCAAACTTACCTTTCTTGGAATGATGATTAACGGAAATAGTCCCCGACCAGAAACGAAGGTCTACGCGAAAACAACTGATACTGGACTTTTATTGCATCACCAAAGCCATGTTGACGAAAAGTACAAACTGTCTCTGCTGAGGATAATGTTAAACCGTGCGTTTAGTCTACTCGAACTGGATTTTTTTCCATCGAGAATATGAACGTGAAAAAAAGGCTTTTGCGTGAGCCGACACTTTCATCACCGTGTGGAGGAACACAAGTAATCAAAACTCGGTAATCATGTAAAGGACGAGTACGGAAAGGATCCCGAGACCATCGAAAAAAATTTCAAGATTTAATCTTCTCATGAAGAAAGAAACGCTACGATTTTCCCTTCGATTTTTCGCCCATATGCATCTCTCTAAACGTGGAATTTTCCATTCCTACAAAAAATATCGAAAGTCTTTCACATTTTGTTACCTCTCTTGATCAATCATCTTGTATAAAGAGCTAAAAAATGTAGGTATATTTGGTCAAGTGACCGCTTAGACCAAGAATTGCATAACAGGTCTAGTTGAGAGAAACTTGTCACGTGGCAGATTTTAAAAGGCATCCAATACGAAAATACGGTAGTGACCTGAGATTTTTTTGATGATTTTCAGATATGTTAGTACTGAAGGAGGATGTTTCGTGAGAAATCGGGGGTGTTTTTATTTTTTTTTTATTTGTGGCACTTTAAGGAGCTTTGGTTCAATTTTAAAATTTACATGATTTTTTAAGAAAGTACCCTCAAACGCTTGTTGCAAAAAGCGGAAAATCGAGCAACTTCAAGCCTTCAAAACGCGTCTTGGTATGAGAGAAATCATGTCAAACTGCATACTGGCACAAAGGTTGGTCCTTATACGAAAATAATATGAAATAACAAATTTGCCGGCAAAATAAAAGAGTTTGCAAGGCACCATGGCCAAGGTCAGGAATTTGCATTATGCAAATCAGTTGTAGAAATCGTACTTGAGAGCTACGAAGAAAACAAGATAGTTAAAGATGGTTAAACAATTATTTGATATGGAAATGATATGAAATTATACAATAAAAAATCCGTAGACATTGCTGAAGAGGGCTGCAAATTGATGTGTAGATGCGAAATTTTCTGTTAATTTGAATTGCAGAAGACTCTGTTATGGTTGACTCACTATTTCAACAGCACTACCTTCACCTAACTATAGATAAGGGCCGCTGTATAGTTCACCATTTTTGTTGACTACGTGTTTATTATCGACACTATTCTTAGTTGAATGGCTAATTTTTCTGCAACAGCGATAACATTTCGTTTGAAATATCTTGGATATCTTGAAAAAAGTCATGTGAGTAAACAAATTCATGCAACACCGCAAGCTTCTGCTGTGTAGTTTTTAACCTAAAGATAACAGCCCAACTATTTTTTTTTATGCTATTTGCTTTTGTTTTTTTTCGGAAAATGGCCACATTTCTGTCATAAAACTTGATAGAAAGGACTTATGTCACGGTAGCAATATAATTATACCGTGTTGCAGTCTGTGCGATAATTCTCTATGATGCAATCACGGTCTTTTTCTTAGAGGTAAACAAGCGCGAGGCTTTTCACAGAGCATATAAGGAAAACGATGTCATTCTGTAATTTTGCTTCTCTTCTTGGGGGAGCTTGTGGTGCAAGTTGTGAAAATCCAAACGTGGTTGACTTTGTCGGATTGAAAGACTGTACTAGGGAAGTTACAGCTCACTTGAAGAGTTGTAACATTTTGACGGATGTTGAAAGCGTCAACAACAACGAAAGGAAATTATTACCAGATTTTTTTTATTATATTACTTTAGTTTAAGGACCAAACTTTGTGCCAGCATGTAGTTTGACATGATGTCAGACATACCAAGACGCGTTTTGAAGGCTTGAAGCTGCTCGATTTTTCGCTTTTTGCAACAAGCGTTTGACGGCACTTTGTTAAAAATCATGTGAATTTTAAAATTAATACTCCTTAAAATGCCACAAATGAAAATCAAATAAATTATATTTTGAAGAAAAAACACCCACAATTTCTTACGAAACACCCTCCTTCCGTACTAGCGCACTAAAGTTGGTCAATTTTAATATATTTTTTGCATAATTAATTGGTGAAAACCCGAATTCTCGTTTTTCCCCATTTTCTCGCGCACATTTAATTTTTCAAACTTGAAATAATTTTTTTGAATATATCTCCCTTAGAGGGTTTTCCAGGCAAATTATCAGAATTTTCGGTTTTTTTAGCCTGGCCAGCGGTTCTCGATAATTACAGTCATGGGCTCTTAATAATCACGTTCCATTAGTCGCTACACTTCAACATACCAAGGTTATGAGATTTCGTAGATATGGTAGATTTCCTTGTAATTCTGTACCTAGTTGGTTATTGAAAAAGTTGTCAAAGGATCGTTCATTCGGAATCGTTGAATGAAGATTGTTGTTGGTTTGAACTAATGACAAAAAATAAATAAATAAATAAAAAATTAAAAAAAACTAAAAATATTTCTGAGAGCAAGCGTGAAAGGGAATTCTAAATCGAGATTTGTAACATTTAACCCGGCTAAATGATCCACTATTGTATGAAAAATATTTAGTGATCTTGTTTTGGTCTCCTAATGCTTGCTTGTTCCAGTAATACAGCAAAATAGAGATAGCGTAGGTTCTCAGTGTCAAAGGTCTAAGTATTTCACTAAAGCATGGTCTATTATGTCCTATTTGCACATTCAAACCACTCAAGCCTTTGACTGATTTGGCGCATGAGCTTGTGTGAGAATAGGTGTCATCGAATTAATGTTGAAGCCTCTATCATAATTAACCAATTTATGTTTGCAGTGTAGGCTAACGCAAAGGGGTATTGCACTTATGCTGTCTCTCAAGTTGATCTGGATTTTGAAATTCCTTAACAGTATGCGAGAATGCAAAATACGCACTGAATTGCATTTTCGTCTTTGCTACTGAACTTGATGTGAAAAAAATTGACCTTTTTTTTTCTCGGCGGGGATGTAGGTAATGAAGCACCAAGGTTTGACTTCAAGAGACATCTTTACCTAGTATGTCAGGTCATGTAATAGTACTTCATTCAAATTTCTTCTTATTAACGTGCGTATGTGCCTATGATTCACAAAAGATGAGGCTGAGAATTCCCTTCAGACCTGATTAAAAGTTCTGATAAAGTGGGTAAACAAAACGTACAAGCCAAGGTAGTCTATTGATTTCGAAAATTTATCCTTCGAAATTCGTTTCTTTGATGCTGAAAGTTACCAGACGACATATCTACACTGTACTTGATAGCCTTGATCCTTAAGTAAAGCCGCAACGTTGCCATGTCTGTTGTCTTTACCAGGTGGGGTATTTCATTTTCTTCTAAGACTCATTATAATTTAGTTCTAACAAAGCGTTTTATTCTACAAAATGACCTTTCGGACGACCTAAAAAAAATTCTAGGGGAGCATGCTACCTGTTTACCACTCCAAGAACTTCATTTCTTCAGCGGATATCAATCCGACCACCCTTACTAATCCTGGATCTACCCTGAGCAGTAAATTTACGCCATATAATAAAATTTATTTCCTTTAGGTTCTGATCTGTTTTTCCTGGCACTTTTTGTGACTTATCAAATTCTACCATCAACGCGAGCACTCCCAATAGATTGCCAAAAGAACACAGCAGTCTGTTTGGAAGAAATAATGAAGGAAGTCGCCCAAGTTCGATTTGAGGTTAAAATTCTCACGGAGAACAAAACATTGGCGAAACGTAAGCACGATTCCTCTTCGTTCATACGTGTTAATACCTTTATTAACATTTATTCATTTCAATTTTTATTGTAATTTTTCATGAGTATATCAACTGTTATTACGTTGTATTTCATCAACAGCTAAGAACTGTGTTGAACTCTACCATTCCGGTCAAAGGATCAGCGGTATTTACACGATCGACCCAGATGACTCAGGCGCTTTTAATGTGTATTGTGACCAAACTACTTCTGGTGGGGGATGGACAGTCTTCCAGAAGAGAATGGATGGCTCTGTTGATTTTAATCGCACCTGGAATGACTACAAACATGGCTTCGGTAACTTGGTCGGTGAATTTTGGCTCGGACTGGACAAGATAAACCGTCTGACACAAAACATAACAAAGAACATGCTTCGAATAGATCTGGGGGTAACTACGCGCCAAACTGTTCACGCTGAGTATGAATGGTTTGGGATTGGAAAAGGGACGGCTGACTACCGGCTGTACATTGGCAATATGAGAGGTAAGTAACCCGTCTCTTTAAACATTCATCGTTCGATTTTTATGTGTTACTTCCCCTATCCACGTCTTCTGTCCCATTCACACCATAGCTTAAAAGCTGTTTTGCTAAAATCGATTTAAATTTATTTCTTCAGGGGTGTTGCTTAAACTGATCTTTGTCCACTTCAAATTTTGCACATTTAGCGAATTAACAAGTTAGTGACATCTTGAATCCTATGAAAAACTGATTTTTAATTCAATCCCTTCCCCCAACCCCACGTGACCTGCAAATAATGGTTCGTTCTGGCGTGTGTTTTGCTGTTAATTCTGCCCATACCTAATTGAGTCCGCGCTCCTCCGTGGACAGTTTGCTTTCGAAGCTGCTTGAGATAGAAAACTCATTCAACTTGGCTTTAACAAAATCATCAAATTTGAGTATTTACCATTTTGCCCGATATTTTTGTATTTCGATACCTGCCCTACTTCGTCGATTAGTAGGTATCGAGTTTGAGGTGTCAAAAGTGTTATCTTAATACTAATATTATGGAATTTTCTTTTTTTTTTTAACAGATGCAACTGTTTCCTCTGATTCCCTCAATCCTCACAAAGATCTCATTTTTGGTACCTGGGATAGAGATCCTGCTAATTGTACTCTAAAAAGAGGTGGAGGCTGGTGGTATGGCAGCAGTAGTGATTGTGCTGTTTCGTCGAATCTCAACGGAATTTATCCGCATTGTGGAAAGGAAACCTGGGCCGATATCCATTGGAAAAAATTAGATCCAAACAATCCCAAGGGCAGCGCCCCCACATCAACTGAAATGAAAATTAGACCAGTGGATTTTTTTTAAAACTTTCTGACGGCAAAGTGTTCATGGAAATAGTGATTTCTGCGTCCTCTGATCGGTCGACTTCGCTTTTATTACAATTATGATTGGCAGATTAATGATTGAGTGGCCTTTTTTGAATCTGAATGAATTCCAACGGGGAAACACCATCGTTAACTGTTTCCGTCGCGACCAGGCATCAAGTGCAGTAATCTGCATGCATGGTGATGTTAATTCTTTTTTCGTACTATTCATTGTTGATTTGAAAACGCTGTAATTAAAAAAAATTAGTTCGCTTGCTGTCGAACTTAAACCAAAATATCTGTAAATTCAGTTTTTTAATATCTGACAAAGAAATATATTCGGACCAATCGATGCCGTTTTGAAGAAGTAATTTGCACGACAACAAACAAAACGTGTATCATTTTCAACACCTTTTGATTCTAGATTTTAAAATGCTTAGAATATTCAGATTAGAAGAAATGACCAAATTATACACTGAACCATATATAGTTGACCAAATGCGATCTGAGAAAAGGATCTTTTCATCACATCGAAGTTAATTCAGAAGGATTTATACCTATGGAACATTCTAAGCTACTAGCTGGAGTTCCTGGATGTTTTACTTATTTCTACAGTTTTACGTTTCCTAATGATTTTCAAAGCGTCACCATCTTAGAACTATCAAAAAAGCGATTTAAGATTATATCAAAATATGTTACTTTGGGATATGTGAGTTTTAACGTATGAAGAAATAAAGACTGTTGTTCATTATTGATGCTTTTACGTCAACGGCTGAACGATAGTGTTACCATGGTAACCCAGTAGGTCGCAAACCTACTACACTCGAGGATTTCAAGCCTACAATGGTTATTCATTTCCATATTTGCTAGTGAAGCTTCTTGCGTACGATTGACAAGCATTTAAGACTCTAAAGGTATGGAGGTGTAAATTGAGGACCTTAACAACTTCACATGTACTTTATTTTGCATATTTTGTTAATACAAATAAGCTAAAACCAAAAAAAACGAAACACAACAAAAGAAAAAACACACGTGTCCCAAACTAGGATAGATACGAACGGAAAACGCTACTTGTAATCTCTTACGAATTATCAGTGAAAGCCTGGATAAAGAAGGATTAAAATTTGATTTCGGTCACGGTATGGCAAGGAAATGTACGTACTTTGACCCTTAATTGTCTGTTCACTGTTCTAACATCTGATGAAACTGCAAATTGATCAAAATGAATGATGAAAAAAGTCTAAAAGTTTCTCCCTCAAAGTCACGAAGTAGCACAAATAGCAAATACCGAACTTGGAAAATTCGTCATACATTTTGCTCAAATCGTTGTATGGTCCGACTCTTCAAAACAGATGGCGACTGATCCTTAAGCTACTAAGTTCATTGAAAGTCCAAGACACTGAGATAAGGTTTTTATTCGTTTCCCTCTCAATTTAAAATCTCTAAAATACAAAGTCAATACTTTTGTTTAAAATGCTTAGAAACACTTTGTTTTCGTTTTTATCGACCAACTTCTTTAATTTTGGGAGAATTTAAGAGAGTTTAAGTAATCTTCGATAAATCTTGATTGTTGTTTTTTTTGGATTGAACCTTTCGGTCTGATTGCCTTTGCGGGTTGAATTGCTGCCAGAATGAAGTCGTTGAATTTCCGATCCATTACGTGAACGGATTGCTGCTACCTTCAAGTCGCTTTTAAGGCAGAATTTCTTCTTAAATCATCAACACAATATCAAGCAGACAAGTGTTAAGGATAACGAGAAATATCAGTAAGGGAATTATTTATTGCAGGATCCAATATAAACTTCCCAAAATAACACCATAATAATCGAATGGCAGCCAGTAAAGCGAATTTCTTATAAGATCGTGTGAGTAAAAAGGCCGGTAAAGGGGTCATCACGGCTATCACTGCACTGAAGAATCTATTAAGCATTAGAAAGTGGACCGTGAGCAACTCAATCTTCCGTCATTAGGATTTCGAGTCCTTAAAGCGCAAATAATATCAAGATTAGCTCAGGCATAAGCGGCATGCAGAGGATAGAGTAGAATAAAGTTAGGTGACATGAATTCAATCAGTGGGTCATTAGAAAAAGAAGATTCAGATTACGAATAATAAGATTCAACGTTTTGCGACGGAAGAAGGTTCTCGGCGAAAAACCTTGCTAATGGTAAAATTCACATATGTTAGTTATAAGACTCATAGATGCTCCAAAAGGTTATCTGCAGTTTCTCAAGCTTTTAAGGTGATATTCTTCGGTGATTGAAACAGGCATTAATGGAAAAGGAACTTCGAGTCGAAGCTATGACCTCCCGAAAAATACTTCAGATGCTGTACCACTGAACTATTGGAGACTCGTGGCGGGCTGAGTCGTTTATCTTGGTCCATGGAGACAGACTTCCTCTATAATTCTAGGATAGGAGTGTCGACATGTGATGCTATTGCAAAATAGTGATGTAAATGAAGACGTTCAATTTTAATCCTAGTCATTTGTTTTTTGTTTTTTATTTATTTTTTTTCTTGTTGTTTCTTTGTTTGTTCTTTCACGACTCAAATATGGTGCGACAAAATTTGATAAAGAAAGCATGACGTCTCAATTAAAACGCACCTATTAGCCACTGAGTGCGCGCGTACTAAGTTAAACTTTTCCTCTATAATCATGAGTCATTTAGGCGGGTATGCTGACGCTTTTGTCTTTACTGTTAGAATCCGAGTTTCCATTTTTTCAATCTGATCTTTCGCAATGTCCGCCCGGTGGGATGTAGCAGGAAATATATTATTGTGGAATGCCTCTCAATACCTCCCTAAAGGAAGAAAGAAAAAAACAAAAACCAAAAAATTAAAAAAAAATTTAAAACTGCAAATTTGTCAAAATAAAATTGTCTGATTAGCATTTTCTACGTTTTACGTGAGGAACTGAGGCTGTTATCGTTAAAGCCTTTCGAGAGAAAAATAATTGACCGGAACTCCTAAATTAATTTTTGTTCTGATATTGAAACAGTTCATCTCTGTGATAGTGCGGTTTTGCCACAGGCTTGGTAAAGTGGCGACTAAGCAACGAGGAGATAAACGAACCTTTTAAAATCTTAAGTACATCATTATGCGGACACTGTGCTTGACAGGACCCCGTGCATGCCCGTGAGGGGGTGGGGGGGTGGGGTAAGTTCTTCTAAGTTGCATTTTCACGACTTGATTGACCATATTGGGGTTGTATTCTTTCATGGAGTTACTGGAATGGGGTTGCACAATTTTCGAGGTCTTGGGGGTGAGAAAAGTCTCGTATATAGGGATTTACAAATGGGAAGATCTACAGTCAAAAAGTTGTCACCGTACTTCGCGCTGTTGTTTAACAATCAGTTTGCAGTAAAGGGTAGAGGTATGCCCTCCCCAAGGCAAGCAAGTTATCAGCAAATATTTACATTTGCATCCCTTGCGAAAACGTTTCCAAACATGGGAATGAAAAGGTTAGTATTGCACTTTATTTGCCTGCTTTTGCAAAGGGGGTAATGCTTGTGCAGATTCATGTCGTAGTTAAAAATTTGCAGTATCTGCAAAGGTGAAGGACACAAAAAGCACAATGTCACGTTTATATCACATGTGCACATGAAAGCCACAAGAACATGAAAATCAGCACGTTTACGCCAATTTATATCCCAACATTTTCAACACGTTTGCTTACTTTGCAACCCGAGAGAACCCAAATTTTCGTATAGTGTATTTCACCTTTTTTTTTTTTTTTTTCTGTCTTCAACGCAGAAATATCTAATCAATAATATTCCGAGACAATGAGACCAGGTTTTTACTTATTTTTCCTCCCAAATACACCAAGCCAACGATTTATTTGAAATGCACAGACGCAGTTTGTTTTGGCAATCTTTTTGTCCAACTTCGTTGCGTTTGAAAGAAATTAAGAAAATTAGTAAATCCTCAAGACGTGTTCACTAACATGTTTTATTTGATTTAATCTTTCGGTATATTTCCTTCAGGGTTTGAATTTTCATAAGAATAAAGATGTCCAATTTCCGATCCATTACAAATATGGAATGGAGCCACCCATATGTCGCTTCAAGCACTATTAAGAGGATCTCAAGAGGGTTCTTGTAATGGCTTTGCAGCTTTTTTTTTTTTTACGGTTAAAAATTTTGGCCAATCTACGGCTAATGGTTAATTTCTTTTCATCTTTCTTAA